ATCGTTTGTTTATATAATTCTGTACAATGAGATAAATAATTTGTTGTCCCTGCTGCTGCTACTGAGCAGTGCGCATGCGCCATTAGAGAAGAACAGATAGTGCCACAAATTCTTTCTCTCTCTCTACTCGCCGGATCTTTCCGCTTACAGAGATTCCTATGGCTCCCCTCCTCTATTTATATTATCTCTATGGTTATGGCGGCTAGTCTCAGTTGTAAGATGTCATATTGTAAGGTTGCACATTTGTCAAGAATATAACATCGAAATATTATCGATAGTGTATCAGAGTCGTGAATTTTTTTCGTACGAAAATATCGAGTTTTTAGCCGAATAAACGCCATTTGCGGGAAGTTCTGATTTACTTCTTTAATTTGAAGAAACCTGCAGCTGAGGCGCATCGATTGCTTGTAGAAGCATATGGTAAGACTGTATTAAGTGAGAGAAGTTGTCGTGAGTGGTTTCAAAAGTTTAAGAACAGTGAATTTGATGTCGAAGACAAAGAACGTAGTGGAAGGCTGAAAGTGTACGAAGACGCGGAATTGGAAGCATTATTGAATGAAAACGAATGAAATCATTACTGGGGCTCTCTACCGAACTCAAATGATAAGATTGAGCCGATCACTCGAGGAAAAACGCGCCCATTATTACTCCAGATACGACAAAATCATTCTTCTGCATGATAATGCTCGTCCCCATGTTGCCAAAACCTACTTGGAAACACTTAATTGGGAAGTTTTACCACACCCGCCATATTCACCAGATCTTGCTCCTTCTGATTAGTACTTGTTTCGATCGATGACGCATGGCCTGTCTCAGCCGCACTTCACGTCATATGAAGATACCAAAAATGGGGTCGAATTATGGTTAGCGTCAAAAGATGAAGCGTTCTTCCGACGCAGTATGCTGCCAGAAAAATGGGAAAAAGTAGTGGCCAGCGATTGACAATACTTTGAATATAACATAAGGCACCATTCTACCATTGTAAATTACTCGGCTGATTATTCGTTCAATGACTAGATTCACACGTCGAAAACATTCAATAAAGAAATTGATTCGAACAAAGATGGCTTGATTCTTGTATGGAGGTTTGGAATTGCAGTAGGTATAGGTATATGATAACACAGGATGTCCCAAAACTAGTGTAAGAGATTGAAATGAGAGGTTCTTAACGTGATTTTGAACAACATTTCCCTTAGCGAAAAAGTTGTCCGAGGCGTGGTTGAGGAGTTATTAACAAAAAACCCCAATCAATCAGAGCGCTCGGTTGACTTGAGCTCCGACTCGGGAGCGTTGGCTCCGATCCGATTCTACATCAACGCCTGTAAAAGCGCGTGATCTTCAACAATAATCCTCACTGTACGCCCAATCTAGTGAATTTTCACATCTATTTCTGTATTAAAAACGTATTTTCAAATAAAACTTGTTTTAAATTGAAAAGCAGCGTATAAAACTTCGTAAAAACGTCAAACCATTGACAAACTGCCAAAGATTTAATCGTAATACATAAAATAAAAAATCGAACACGAATTTACGTGTATATGTATAAGGGACGCGGTACCAGCGTGGCCAGGTTGAGGACGGGAGCCAACGAGAATCACCCCTTCCACTTACGCACACGATCGCTCCGTATCCGTGTGCTCCGAGTTCGGCTCCACTTCGACTCAGTAGAGAGAGAAGGCGAAACATCAGTGCATCGCTCTTGTTCTTGATGCGTTAAAATCCAAGCGGCACGCAGCCGTCAGTCGGCATCAGGAGCAAAAGCGACGGACTGATGTTTCGCCTTCTCTCTCTACTGAGCCGAAGTTAAGCCGAACTCGGAGCACACGGATACGGTGCGATAGTGTGCGTAAGTGGAAGGGGTGATTCTCGTTGGCTCCCGTCCTCAACCTGGCCACACTGCGCGGTACCCGATAACAAGCTGCCATCTTCAGACTCAAACTTACCTTCGGGACGCTACCGCGTCCGTTGATCCTAATATCTATCTTAATTTTTTAAGCGATGGATTTTACTCCTGTTACACAGATACGACATTTAAATATAATCATCAGCATCATGTCCCGACGAGTTATTCTTTCTCTTCTGTTATTATTAATGCCAATAAGTATTTAATTTTATCAGCCAATTGATCGTGTGACTTAACCTCTTAGGCACGGCTGAATTTTGCGCGGAGCTGCTTCTCTGTACGGCGGAGTTGAACGCGAATTACGTGTAAATGATACGACACTGCAATGTGTCACGGATAATGCTTTTCTTTACACGAGTACATTGGAATCAAGTGTTTGATGATTAAATTATAATTTTTCTTAAATATATGATACACGCATTTTAACTTTAACAATTTATTCTAATAATTAATAATACAATTCAGTATGGTACGTCTTAAAACACGGTACAACACAAAGCCCCGCGAAAGCCACTATAGTGGCGCGTGGGCCATAATTATTATATCGGAAATGAACGGGTAGACTATCTTTTGTTTCAAGGAACATTTATTCCGAAAGACGAAAGGCGCGAGCGTTATGTAAAAACATAAGGTGTGTTCTTCCGGCGTGTTCAAATGTGTCGCTGTTTGCGCCTTCCACTCATCGGCCATATTGGAAGTACGATGATCTATTGTTTATTTCAAACACGCATATATATTACTCTCCGAGAACCTAATTTTTCACATGTTTACGATTTTTAAATTCGCTCTGTTTTAATATGAAATGTGATTGGTTAAAAATCCAAAATGGCCAACGAGTAGGAAGTGTCCGTGTACAGATCGATGTTCAAATGGATGCGCAAGAACACACCTTATGTTTTTACATCATGGGCGCGAGCACGTGCGTGTGCGTAATGGCGAACCTCGTGTTCGCACTAACAATATACTCACCACTTAATACTAGCGGTTGTATGCGCGATAACTAATATTATAAAATTATGAAGAGAGTCTTTAATGGAGACTGTTGTTGGGAGATGCGCGTTATACTCAACGATGCTGCCGGATAACTCGGAGTATTAGAAACGCGGCTGAGCGTGAATGCCTCGGTTGAACGTCTCTCTAAGACTGTATGTCTAACGGAAGAGGAGTTTTAGCAGCTAGGCGGAAACTTAGACTGCCTAACGCAAGAGCGGTAAAACTCCCTATCAGTGTTGGCGCAGCGACGCCACACACTATAGTGGCATGTCGTACTGAGAAATGACGTCCGCGAAAGCCACTATAGTGGCGCATAGTGCCTAAGAGGTTAAACTTTTATCTTCAAGGTCACCGTCCAGTGAAATAGCTATTAACACATTGTGCGCGGGTACATTTTGCAGTACCACTACGTACTAAACGTACTAGTACGTGTCCCGCATATAATGTGTTAAGTGACCGGTATAATCTATAATAGGACTTGGCATACTTGTCCTCCCATTAGCCTCACCTCTTCTACTGATTAGTGAACGACGTCATCCGAATTTAAATACAGCTCAGTACCACTCTACTTCAGTCGAACTACGAACGTAGGAGCAGCAGCAGCAGCAACATAGACAACAGTCATTCAAGTCGAAAATGATATGTACAGTCTTTATACTTTTAACGGCTACGTTAGCGTGGTACTTGTACTGGAAATCTACATATTGGAAAAGGAATAATATTCCAACGGCCAAAGGATGTTACCCGCTCTTTGGTCACATGTTATCCGTAATAGCCATGCAAAAAGCTCCGGGCGTACTAATTGAAGAAATATACAATGAGTACAAGGATTGCAGCATGATTGGATTTTACAAAGGATTAGTGCCGGCATTAGTTGTCCGCGACCCGAATTTGGTGAAATCCGTGATGCAAACTAATTTCTCGAGTTTTCCTATAAACAGTTTCCAGATTTTAGAGGAGGTGGATCCCCTGTTAGCTCAAAATACATTTGTCGCCCACGGGGAAAAATGGTTAAATGGAAGGAAGCGATTGACCTATGCGTTCACAAGTGGCAAGTTGAAAATTATTTTCGTGGTAGTTGCCGAAGTATGCAAGAAATTCCAAGATTACTTAGAGAGGCGGCTGAGCTCCAACGACAAGTACGAAGTTGATCTGAAGTATCTGTTCTCAAAATTTACTGGCGAAGTTACGGCGAACGCTAGTGCGGGCATCGAAGGGCGCTGTTTCGAGGACGTAGATGATCCTTTGGCGTTCGATCAGATCGGCCAGGCTCTCTTTCAACCGAATTTCTTCAGTAGAATTATACTTAACTTTCTACTTCTATTTCCCAGCCTGAATCGTTTCGCAAAGATCAAGTTCGTGAACGAGGAAGTCCAACAGTTGTTCAGAAAGATGGTGAAGGAAAATTTGGAACATAGACGAGGGGAATCAACGCCCCGGTACGACTNGCAGGGGTCGGATATTTTATCCCTCGACGCTCGCTTCCCCTGTTTTTCGCCCGTATTTCGATCCCCACTACTATTCCCCTCATGCGTGCTCATGCGCGTTCGCGAAGCTCTCCGCAGCGCTACCGTGAAAATCACTGCATACCCCCACCAACTATTGGTCCCCACCGTGGTCGCGTCGTCCCCACTTTCCGGCCGAGGGATAAAATATCCGACCCCTGGTACAAAGTCCCATTTATTTATTTCATATCGAATTGGAAACACAGATAACATTGCTATCTTACTAGCAAATAACAGTTAGGATAGAACAGCAACGAAATCAGTGATGACGTACCTAACAACTGAAGTTTTCAATGTCATGTTTGCACGGGCCAATAATATTACGGGATGATGAATTATCGCATAATAAATTCATTTCATAACATCGTTATCAAAGAAGAATGAACCTTACTGTCTGCACGTAAAAATTTAGATGATATTACAATTTATCATACATACTATCATACATACGTCGAATTAAATAAAAATATTTGGGACACATTTACACGGATTTTTTACACATCCATGTTTTAATAAATTCATTAATCGTTTAATGAAGTCAGTTTCAATTAAAATTACGTTATGAATAAAGATTCGTCTCTCGAATTTCCTCTACGCATGTAAATTCTTCATAAAGAAACGGAGAGTGTGAGAGTGAGAAAGACTCATCTTGTTATTGTTCTCTGTAACAGAAAGATTCCAACAATTAATATATAGCAAATGGAGTATTACGTATGTAATAATGTGACGATAGCTTTAATTTTATGAGGAAAGATTATGTCCGTACGTCCCATAGGCTAAGTTTTTGTACAGTACTCGAGACGAAGAGACAAACCGCTGATGCAATAAAATATCCGTGCTGCAAGTCGATCCCTTCGCTTACGAGGGTGTAAAACAGTGTTTGTTAGTGTCTTCACTTATGGTAATTTTATAGTTTTAGAGCGTGAGGTCGAATCTTTGCTAAGAACGACACTTCGTGTTCGATCTTCTTGGGAAGTACTTCTCACTTTGCGTGTAATTTTCTTACCTACTAAATAAATTGTTATCACGAAAATCGAACTCACTTTAATATGATACCGCGTGAACATTGCAAAATAATAACTGTTTACACGATTTCACTATTAGTGTTCATATTAAAATAAGACTAATTATGAAATAATTGCAAAAATGAATGTTGTAATGCATCTGAAACTAGATAAGAAATTCCTGGACAAAATTATTTAAATTTCTTCCTCTATAA